CCCTAAATGTCTACATTTTAGCCTTCCTACAGTTATTTCTTTGTTCTTTACAAAAACTAAAAATTTACTTATTCTTTGACTTGACTTCCACAGATATGCATAATTCTTCAAAAACTTCAACTCATGTAGGAATAAAAGTTTTTACATACAAAATATATATTTGTGTATTTATAAATGTTTATATATAAACAAATATTTATATTTCCCCCACTTGAGTTAGTTTTAATTTATAGAAACTAAGGTTGTAGTCAGTCGTGTAGTCCAAACATTTTCCAAAAGTGACTGAAATCACCATAGTTAAGTTAGTAAGAGGCTCAAGATGAAATCTTTACTGACTTGTAAGATTAATATTTTGTATAAAATTCTTCACACTGGATCTACTGTATTAGTAATACAAACTGATTTTGACTTTTAAAAATTATGGAATTAGGGGCCAACGCTGTGGTGTAGAGGGTAAATCTGCTGCCTGCAATGCTAGCATCCCACATGGACACCAGTTTGAGACCGGCTGCTCCACTTCTAATTAAGCTCTCTGCTATGGCCTGGAAAGCGATAGAAGATGGTCCAAGTGCTTGGGTGCCTGCACCCATGTGGGAGACCCGGAAGAAGCTCCTGACTCCTGGCTTTGGATCAGCCCAGCTCCACCTGTTGCAGCCATTTAGGGAGTGAACCAGCAGATGGAAGATCTCTCTCTCTCTTTCTATCTCTCTTTCTCTCTTCCTCTGCCTGTCTGTAACTCTGCCTCTCAAATAAACAAATCTTTAAAAAATAAATTATGGAAAAAAGCATAATTCCAATCATACTCACTAAAAAGAAAACTCACTGAAATTTGATGCAAAGATTTCAATGTTTTGTAGAATGGGAACATTACATTTTACTGTTTCCCTTAAAGAAAAGTTAGTCTGTCCAAACATAAACTCATTATTCTACAGTTAAAAAGGATAGGGTAGGATTTGGTCTGTAACCTAAATGCTCAACAGCTCATACTACCAAAAAAATAAAAATAAAAAAAAAAAGAAGAAGGAGGAAATGAGTAAAATATTCTAAAACTCTCTTCACAGTTCAAGGAAAGAACAAACCGGCCCAGCTTCCTGGGAAGAGGACAGGTCTCTGTTCACCACGGATGATGCTAGTCTCTACATCTGCTCTCCAAAGAGATGGACTCAGTCACCGGAAGTCTATCACCTCAAAGCCACCCAGAGGGGAGGGAGAGGCACTGAAATCTCTGCAACAGCATCCAAGAACAGAGGCGACTGTGTCAACAAACTCATTCTCAATTTGAGGGTTGGGCTTATTTATGTTGTCTGCAGCAGATAAAATGCTTAGGCCTAGAAGGCGGGTTTCTTTCTGAAACTACCAGAAAGATCCCAACAGCTTTCAATGCCTTCAAACTTGCTGGATCCTCTATCAATACATCAGGGAATTTGGCACAAAAACATTCACTGTCAGTTGTCCCAAGAAGTTTGACGTTGCCAATTAACTGTTGGTATTCTTCTTGCTTAGAAATGGCTGGTAAATATTACTGCAGAGTTCAAGGATTCCTGGGTCAAATACCACTGTAGGAGCCAACACTGTGGTGAAGCAGGTTAAGCTGCCACCTGCAATGCCGGCATCTCCTATCAGAGTGCTGAATGGAGTCCTGGCTGCTCCACTTCTGATCCAGCTCCCTGCTAATGAGCCTGGGAAAGGAGTGGAAAATTGACTCCTGCCATCTATCTGAGAGGCCCAGATGGAGTCCTTGGCTCCTGGTTTTGCTCTGGCCCAAATCCCCCTACTGCCAACCTGCCCAGACTGTTGAGACCATTTGGGGAATCTCTATCTCTCTTCCTCCCCTGCCTTTCAAATAAATAAATGGTTTTTAAAACATTGCACATATAAATTATATATTAGTATAATGCATTAAATATTATAAATATATTATATAATGGTCTAGTACAAATATATGTAAATGGTCTAGTACAAATAACCAGGACTCCTAAAAGTCATTGGTCCTGCAGAACACTAATATCAAATGATATAAATAACTACTAAATCAAAATGAAGTGTTCCTTGGTTGAGTACATTTGAAAAACACTGGTTTAATGTAGTGAACCCAGAGCAGGTATTGAGGGTAGATGTTAAGACACCACTTAGGACACTCACATCCCATATCTGAGTGCCTGAGTTCAAGTCTCTGTTACGCTCCCAGTTCCAGTTTCCTGTTACTGAGCACCCAGGAGGCAGCAGGTGATGGCTCAAGTACTTGGGTTTCTGCGAATCATGTGTCAGAAAAGAACTGGGTTCCTGAATCCTGGGCATTTGAAGAGTGAACCAACAAATGGGCTTACTGGCTCTCTCTTGCTCTTGTTCTCTCCCCTTTCAAATAAAATGAAAATGAGTAAACAGAAGATATTTAAAAATACTGTTCTTGGGATCCCCCAAGGTTTGGGAGTAAAGATGGATGTGGGAAACCTTTTTCAGTCCAAGATGCTCCCCGGAAAAGTCCCCAGCAAAGGCCTGTGCAAACATCTGGGAGACAACTTGAAGGATAAAGGACATTCATCTAATCCTTCTTTCAGAGAACAACGGAATGACTGTGCACTATACTTGTATACCTGTATGTGTCTCTCTCATAAGTATATATGCAAGATAACTTTCTTTCAAGCACAAATTATTATTACCTTAATCCCTGGCATCTAGATAACGTTGAAGACAGAAACAAGGTAAAATGTGTTTACCAGGTGTACTACTACAGGAGAATACCTATGCTAAGTAAATATTCCCAGTGTGGAATTTCTTTTTTTATAAATATTTATTTTATTTATTTGAAAGACATAGTTAGAGAGAGAGGTAGAGACAGAGAGAGAGGTCTTCCATCCATTGGTTCACTCCCCAGATGGCTGCAATGGCCAGAGCTGCACCAATCCGAAGCCAGAAGCCAGGAGCTTCTTCAGGGTCTCCCACGTGGGTGCAGGCACCCAAGGACTTAGGCCATCTTCGACTGATTTCCCAGGCCATAGCAGAGAGCTGGATCGGAAGAGGAGCAGCTGGGTCTCAAACCGGCACCCATATGGGATGCCAGCGCTTCAGGCCAGGGCTTTAATCCTCTGTGCCACAGTTCCACCCCCCTCCCCCAACAGTGTGGAATTTCAAGGCTGCATAAGAGCAATCTGTATTTCATTGAGAGATTTTTTTATAAAGCAATCAAGTTGGCATGACAGGTATGTAAGTATATTGCAATTTCTAAAAAGTGTATTCAGAGAATTGACTAGCTCTATACTAGAAAGGGAAAATGTCCCCTCTGAAAGAATGGAGTGAGATTGAGTTGTGATTGTTACATCATGAGGCCAGTGTTGTGGAGCAGTGGCACAGTGGGTTAAGCTGCAGCTTGCAACGCTGGCAACCCATATCAGAGAGCCAGTTCAAATCGTACTTGTTAATGCAGAAGACCACCCAAATACTTGGGCCCCTGCCAAGCTACTGGCTCCTGGCTTTGGATCAGCCCAACTCCACCTGTTGTAGCCATTTGGGGAGTGAACCAGCAGGTGGAAGATACCTTTCTCTCTCTGTCTCTTTGTCACTGTCTTTTAAATAAATAAAATAAATCTTTAAAACGTTTTATAAACCTATTTTCCACATATGTTCTCTTTTGCATTACTGAAGTATCAAAGTTCCCCGACTATCGAAAAACCAAATTACTTTTATCTCAATTAATATGAGGGATCTTCAAAAAGAGAATTTTTTATCTTTTAATTTTATTTTTTAAAATTATTTATTTATTTATTTATTTGAAAGACAGAGTTAGAGAGAGAGGGAGAGATAGAGAAAGATCTTCAATCCACTGGTTCATTCCCCAGATGGCTGCAAAAGCTGGGGGCTGGGCTGAAGCCAGGAGCCCAAGGTATAAGGGCCCAAGTACTTGGGCCAACTTCTGCTCCTTTCCAAGGTGCAATAGCAGGGAGCTGGATCACAAGTGGAGTAGCCAGGACTCGAACTGGCGCCGATTAGGGATGTTGGCATTGCAAGGAGCAGCTCTACCCACTATGCCACAATGCCAGCCCTTAATTCAATTTTTCATAAACTTCTTAAAGTACCCTTACATATGTTACATTGGTTTTTATTTGAGAGAGAGCGAGAGAGAGAGAGAGAGTGTGTGTGTGTGTGTGTGTGTGTGTGAGTGCAGGTTCACTCCACAATTCCTACAATTGGATTAGGCAAACTCATAACATGGAGCTGGGAATTCAATCCAAGTCTGCCACATGGGTGGCAGAGACCCAACTGCTTGAAGCCATCACAGCTGCCTCCCATGGTCCCGATTAGCAAGAAGCTGGAGTCAGGAATGGAGCTGGTTATTGAACCCAAGTATTTCAATTTGAGACATGGGCATTTTATCCAGCACCTGAAGTGCTAGGCTATACAGCTGCCTCTACAATTTATCTTACACATCACAGTTCAAAAGAAATACATGTTGACTTTTCATTTATAAGAGTATGATCATATGAAGTTCTACATAAATATAAAATCATAACCAGAAAAAATAACATTCGGGAACATTTGTTTGCATCTGTTTCACAACTGAGTATACATACATACATGAATACATACACAGACTCATACACCCCTTTACTGCTCTAAAATTATGCATTTATCAAAACCAACACTTCTTTCCATTATTTGATTTTATAATTCTCTCAGGAAAATGAGTAGAGTACTACCACATGTAGCGATCTTAAGTAGAATTCCAAAATAAAATATGATCTCCATTTTAAGTCTACAACTGTCATTGGTGAAAATCAAAAACACATATAAACATTTTTATTATTCATACTATGCAATTTCACATGTTTTCCGTTCAATTTGCTAGTGAACTCTCACTGCTTGACTCTTTTATCTTGATCTGTGCTTTAAAACTGATGATCAGTTTCAAAACACAGAGGGATCTTACTTCCATTCGATTATAATTATATTGTAAAATATGAAAGGTAAATAGAAAAGTAAAGTCTAAGCAATATTTTTTTTACCTGAGTCCAAGAGATTAAAAAACTGATCAGTTGTGTATGGGCACTGGATATTCTCTTCAGATCACTTTGGAAAAAAAAAGAGATGTTTTAGATATAAAAAAATAGCCCTTCTAGAAAGCCTGGGGAAGATGATCAAATTAAGCTCACTGCACGCTGGAGAACACTTTCCATCCACCAAGACTTTCCAGGTTAGAAATGACTTTTTCATGAGTCCTAGGACTCTCACAGCAATGTTGTGGGGTAGAGAAACTGGAAACATTCATCATTCCCCTCAAAATGTTCTTAAACTCCTTGTGGTGCTTGTTTGAAGTCAAATTTCCTTATTGTCCTCCCAATTTCAGTCCTCTGCAGTCAGGATTGTGACCTGCCCGAGCAAAGGGACTGAGTTTCTGATAGATGGTATTTAGATCTGCCTCTATGAAAACTCTTTGTGCACAATTTAAAGTCTTACTTGTAATGTTAGCTTGGCTTATACAAATAGAAGTTAATGCTGATGGTCATGAATTTCTTCTAACAGATCCTACAGACTTGCTTCACCTTAGGCATGGAGTACTCTTGCTTTCTCTGAAGGACACACAACCCTGGCACTATCTGGGTGGTACGAATGCTGAAGCCGAATATGAACTGTTACAAAATAAAAACCTGTTTCTGCTGTTTTCCAAATATACCCCCACAACATCCATTGGACCTGAAGGTTATCCAGGACCATGATGTATCCAAAAAATAAACCAATCATTTTTCTCAAGTTTTTCCAAAAGCATGTGAAAGTTCTCTCACTCTTTTTTTTTTTTTTTTTTTTTGGACAGACAGAGTGGACAGTGAGAGAGAGAGAGACAGAGAGACAGGTCTTCCTTTGCCGTTGGTTCACCCTCCAATGGCCGCCGCAGCCGGTGCACTGCGATCCGAAGCCAGGAGCCAGGTACTTCTCCTGGTCTCCCATGGGGTGCAGGGCCCAAGCACTTGGGCCATCCTCCACTGCACTCCCGGGCCACAGCAGAGAGCTGGCCTGGAAGAGGGGCAACCGGGACAGAATCCGGTGCCCCGACCGGGACTAGAACCCGGTGTGCTGGCGCCACAAGGCGGAGGATTAGCCTAGTGAGCTGAGGCGCCAGCCCAGTTCTCTCACTCTTACTTCTGATTCCTCCTCTCTGCGGCCTCTAGAATTTAGTATATATTTGTGTCTCAGAGCACTTGCTACTTTGTAGAATAACATATCACTATTTAAGCTCCTGTCTATCTCTTCCTTCTCCTCCCTACCACACACACTGGATTATGAGCATAAGGTCAGAATGTGATCTGGTTATACCCTATCCCCAGCCCCTGGCACAGAGAAGAAGCTCAAGAGTCATTCCTTGAAGCGAACCAGGGCCAGTCATCAACAGATAGCCTCAATTTACATTAGCCAAGGAGCACCTGCCAAAAACTGGTTAGGTGCTGGCAGCAGAACTTGGGTCCCGCACTTACTTCAACGGTGAATGACTTTCATGACTACCTGCTTTGGCACATTTCTGACCTCAAGGAAGATCATCAGACATTTTGTCACTTGAAACCATTATGAAGCAAACAAGAATGGTTATTTGGACTCTGGACTACACCTGGCTATATAAGTTTGGGTTTGGTTTAGTTTACTAAACTAATTTCTACTTTGCCTCATCACAGATAAGATCATATTAGAATGGGGGAATATAAAGGTTTCAATATGTAAATTAACCCACACATATTATTGAATGTGTTCTTCTGTCATGGTCATGTGTTCTTCTGTCTGCAGCTTTTAAACATCATACATAATCAAACTGCCTCAACCTGTCACCCAAGGACCTCTACAATACGACCCAACTCACCTTTCAGGTTGTAACATTCTTCATGTCCTCTGAATTCCAGCAAGCACTCACCATTACCCAGGTGAATTACCCAGAGTAACTCACCATCACTCGCCATTCTTACCACCCACCCTGAGCTCATGATCATCTCCCTGCCTAGAATGCCTTTTCCTAGTATCCTTAACAATTGAAGTCATACCTATCTTTCAAGGGACATCCCAAAAGCACTTTCTCCCAGAAGCTTTTACAGATCTCCCCCCCGCCATCTCCAGAACATGCTGCCTTTACCCCTCAAGGCACCTGGAAATCTTGGAAATTTGTTCCAGCCTGGAGAATTCCACAAAGCCACAAATAATGTTCACAGAGAATATTTGAAATTAAGACTAATCGCTGGAGTGCCCCAAGGGAATGACTTGAAGAGAAGGTATAACCTTGCAGATACTCAACAAGAGTGGAAGAAGTACACAGCGGCAAGGAGAGAGGACAGAGCCACAGCAACTGAAGAGATGAGCACAAATGGAAGCAGCTTCTCCATGTTGAACAAAAGCATAGAACCTCAGGTTCAGGGAGGAAACTGGGAAAGAACTGCAAACAACACAAAAAGATGTAATAACATTTTGTATGACATCAAGACAGAACAATTTCAGCATTCTAGAACTCTCTGCCACCTCAACCTGTTCCATTTGAATAATAATTTGTTCTTTCCAGGTAATATCTTAAGCACCAAAGTTTTGCCAGTGCTTGACTATCAGTGATATTTACAAACCCATCTCCTTCCACTTTTCGCCCTAGAAACACCTGACCTTGGCCACCTCCCAGTCCTGCACACAGCCTGTCTACCTGGAAAGGCTGAGGAGGCCTTTAGAAAAAGAAAGAGCCGGACTTCTTGTTTCTTATGCTATTTCATTCTTTAAAGGAAACTTACTTTCATTTTCTTACTTTTAAGGATGTTAGTTTTACAAAACAGAAAGGAGAGGCAATGAAAACATAATTCTGAGGCCGCCGTTGTGGTGCAGCGGGTTAAAGCCCCAGCCTGCAGGGCTGGTATCCCATATGGGCACTGGTTCGAGTCCCAGCTGCTACTATTCTGATCCAGCTCTCTGCTATGGCCTGGGAAAGCAATGGAAGATGACCCGAGTCCTCGGGCCCCTGCACCTGCGTGGGAGACCCGGAAGAAGCTCCTGGCTCCTGGCTTCGGATCACCTCAGCTCTGGCCATTGCGGCCATTTGGGGAGTGAACTAGCAAAATGGAAGACCTCTCTCTCAATCTCTCTCTCTCTCTCTCTCTGCCTCTCCTTCTCTCTGTGTGTCTGTTAACTCTGACCTTCAAATAAAATAATTATTAAAAAAAAACATAATTCTACCACTGTAAGGAACATATTACCGTTTCAGGGTATTTCTTTTATTCTGTTTTACATGGCTGTGAAAATTCTGTAAAAGGACAATTCTAAGTGGGATAACAAGGCTTTCAGCAATTAGGTGACTTCTCTTAACTTATTTTAAACCCCTTATCTTAAAGTAATGCCCAGTTAAGCCCCCAGTTATCTGGAATCCTATTGCACTGTTTTGAATACTAAGGGATGTCTTAATCTAAAAAAGCAGGGCATTTGTCTCCTACACTCTTTTGAATGCTTTTCAAAAGGAGCTGTGTCCACAAGTGAAAACCCATATACAACAGAAAATAATTTATGATCAATATATTAAGATCCAATATCACATAAAATATGAAAAACATATACTACTTGGCAAAAAGCTTCTTAACATATTGGCTACACTGTTCTTGAATTAGAAATAAGAGTCCATGAAACCTTCGATTTCCTGAAAGAAATTCTATGGAACTCTTCTTTTAAAATGATCTCCATAGTTGTTCCTGACTGTTTGCCATCCCATGTCAGACCCTCTCTCCCCCACCCCACCTGCAACCCCCCACTTTTGCACCATTCCAATTCTCAAGCCTAATGGTTAAGGCATAAGCACAGGGGCCGGCCATGTGGCACAGTGGGTTAAGCTGCTGTCTGCAGTACCAGCGTCCTATATAGGTGCTGGTTGGAGTCCCGACTGCTCCACTTGGAAGCTCCCTGATAACTGTCTGGGAAAGCAGCAGAGGATGGCACAACTCCTTGGGACCCTGAACCCACATTAGGGAGACCCTAACGAAGCTTTGGCTTGGTCCCGCCCTGGCAGTTACAGCCATTTGGAGAGTGAACCAGGGGATGGAAAATCTTTCTCTCTCTCTATGTCTCTCCCTCTCTCTGACTTTAAAATAATGAATTTATTTATTTATTTGAAAGGTAGAATTGGCTCACACTCCAAATGGCCACAAAGGCTGGAGATGGGTTGATCTGAAGCCAGGAGCCTGGAGCTTCCTCTGGGTCTCCCACGCAGGTGCAGGAGCCCAAGGACTTGGACCATCATCCACTGCTTTCCAGGCCACAGCGGAGAGCTGGATCAGAAGTGGAGAAGCTGGGACTTGAACCAGTGCCCATACGGGATGCCAGCACTGCAAGAGGCAGCTTTTACCTAATATACCACAGCACCAGCTCCCCACGTAGGATCTCTGTCTTAATGTGTTCTATGAAACTTAAAAACAACACTACTAGTCGAGCAATACCCTATACCTTGTGCGGTTCTGTGAGTGCAGCCTGTTGAAATCCTTGCTTAGTATATACTAAGTTGATCTTCAGTATATGAAGGTAATTGAAAATGAAACTCGATGAAGGGCAGGATGGGAGAGGGAGTGGGAGAGGGGAGGGCCACGGGAGGGAGGGAGGTTGGGGGGGGAGCCACAACAACACAAAAGTTGCACTTTGTAAATTCACATTTATTAAATAAAAAAATAGCTATATAACAAACAAAAAAAAGAAAAAAAAAGAACTTAATACTTTACCCTTTTAGTATTTTTTTATGTTCTACTTAAAACTATTGGTTGAACTCTGTAATTAATACACATTTACTCTTAGGTGTTTAATTAATGCTATAACTAGTACTCAAATAGTATTTTACACTTTGTGTTTCTGTGTGGGTGCAAACTGTTGAAATCTTTACTTAATATATGCTAAATTGATCTTCTGCATATAAAGATAATTGAAAATTAATCTTGATGTAAATGGAAGGGGAGAGGGAGTGGGGGAGGCGAGTATTGTGGGTGGGAGGGAAGTTATGGGGGGCGAAGCTATTGTAATCCATAAGCTGTACTTTGGAAATTTATGTTCATTAAATAAAATAAAAAAAGACATAAGCACAT